CTATGCAAACAACACTCCAATATCACTATTGAAGAATGAATACAAGGCTTGTAATATTCTTATTTCAATATGTGAACTTCTACGTATAGAAACAATTATCTTATAATCACCAAATAAACCCATTATAATGACATAAATGACGAGCACAAAGTGATGAGAGGAAATAAATCACGAAAATCTAAAAGTTTGGGGACATAAGTCATAGGAAAAATTATTTAGCGGTAAAATTTGTCAAAAAAAAAAAAGTTCGAAGTACAAAGTACAATTAAGAGCATATTTGTTTTATCATTGAGTTTCATTAAATGGAAAAAAACACACATTCCAAAATACTAAATCAAAAAGTAACATTTTCTGTTTTTTTCTATTGAACATGATTTTGTAAATTTTTAACGAGAAATCAAGCACACATTAAGTCCATATGAGACATGTTTCGTCAATCATATTATTTATAATCAGTCATATCACATCAATATTTTATTAATATTTTGACAAATTTTTTTTTTTTGATAAAATGATACAAATTACTAAAATCTAAAGCTTAATAAACAAAATCTATATAAAAAAATAATAAAATGGTACCAAACTCGCCCATAGTAACACTTTGAAATCAGGAGGTACAATTACGCTATTATATTATTCATAATTAAGATGAGAGACGATACTTCCCGCTAATATTATAGGGGACCAACATGTTGTATTGTATAGTTTAAAAGTTGAAACATTAAATTAATGCTTATAAGTTGTAATAATGCGTCCTCTAGAAGTTTGACGGAAAACGAAAAGGAAAAGTGAAAACATGATACTAATTATAGTCAGTCGTGACTCGTGCTCCTCCTTTCAAAACTGCGCAGTTGTCATGGAACGTCGTTTTCTCAATCGTTCATTAGGTTTATGACTTAAACAAACTGCTCTGTACATCTCTTATTCTTTTAATTCAGATACTGCCTTTAGAAAATATATAGAGAGAGAGAGGTACAGTTAGCATCAATTCTTAATTGCTAGTCAAATATTATAAAGGTACAATTCATTATCAATTTTTAAAATAAATATATAATTTTACCCCAGAAAACAATAATTCATATCAACTACACCATTGACCTCTCAAGTAGTCATTTTTATAATAAACCACTGGATTTCTATATTTTATTTAAAAAATTAAAAATAACAATAAAGTTAAGATTAAATAATAAAGATAGTTATGTAATAAAAAAATATTAAAGTGAATAATTGTTAAAACAAATGGTAGTTATTAAAAAATATATTTTTAATTTTTTTAAATAATAAAATATTATAATAATATATTAAATATGAAAAATAAAGATAGTTATTAAAAGGAGGATCTCCTTTATACAGAATAATAACTTAGTTTCTAAACTTGTTAATTTAATTTTTTCAATCCGTAAATTTTATGGAAAATTTAGATTCTAAATATAATAATTCTACAAAATGATAGTTAATCCATCATCAAGATGAATTAAGAAATAAATCACATATATATATAAAATCTTTTCAGATACGACTAAACAATTTATTTAAAAAAAAAAAAAAGTCGTCATGGTTAAAAATAATAGAAATTGCAATTAAATTTAATCTTATTGATGTAAAGTAAAAGTTTATTTTAAGGAACAACTTTTAACGATGAAATCAATACCAAAAATCACTTTACGAAACAAATTGGATATCTAATAATTATTATTAATAACTGGCGATAAAGAAGTAATTTGCGTCTTTCTATATTTAAAAAAAATTAGAAATAATAGACTTAATTAAGAAGAGAGAGAAGTTTAGAGAAAAAAATGTAATTAAGTAAATTAGAGGTAATTATAATTTCTAAGAGTAAAATAATTTTAAAATTATATTAAGAAGATTATAGAATAACTTTTATATTGGTATAGATTACGAAAATTGCTTTAAGAAGAAGAGTTGCAGAAAATGAAAATATCATAGTATAATTTTGAGAATATATTAGGTAGTACAAATTATTAAATATTCATAATTTTAATCAATATTTATTTGATATGTTTTAAAGTTTTAATTTATTAAAAATAATAATAACACTTAATTATATATCAAGTAGATAATTGTTGAACACATTATACACATAAATAATTTAAATATTAGATATGCAGTTGTAAGCGATATTATTTTATTATAATTTTAGTTATATAATAAAAAAATATAACTATTTATCTCTCATTCATTTTTTATGATATTTATAAAAAAATAACTCATTTACGAAACCTAGAGGAAACTGTCTTTAAAAGAAGAAAGAAAGAAAAAAGAATAATAAATAATTATTTGAAGTGTAAGAAAATTAAATACTTTTAAATATCATGATCAAATAAAAATAAAAGAAAAAATAAATAAAGAAAAGAAAAAATTATTTAGAAAAATTATAAAATAAATTATAAATTAATCTAAAATTTACTTACAACAAAAAGACATATTCTTTTATTAATAATATAGATATTTAACAATAAAAGTGCATAGTCCTTGTTCTTAATTTTAATTATGCATATATTTTTTGTGTTATAGTTATTATTTTCCATACAATAATTTAATTTAATAATATTTTTTAATAAAATATAAAACAGGAACAAAAACAAATACAATAATAATTATAACTTACAGAATTAAAAGAAATGAATTTTTTTAAATAAAAACAAAAATAAATTCAAAATAATCTTTTTTTAATAAATTAAATTATGTCATCTTTAATTATTATAAAAATAATGAACTTTTTTATTAAAAAGAAACAGTATATTAATAACAAAATTTAAAGATAGTTTTCAAGGAAAAAAAGTGAAAATAATTATTTATTTAAAAAAGGAATAAAATACTAATATATTATGTGAATAATAATAATAATAATAATAATAATAATTATATTACAATTATTGAATTAAAGTTACTAATACATTATGTAAATTTTTGAAAATTTTGAAATATATTTGATATTCTATTTAATTAATTTAAGTTGATGTATAAAAAAATAAATTTAAAAAATTTATCCAAAAATCATTGTAATTAATCCTATTTCTGTTTTAAAATTTTAAATCACTAACTTTTGAACGTTGCTTTTATATATATATATATATAAAAGTAAGTTTATTTAAATTTAATCTGTTCAATAATTCATATTTTATATCAAATTTTAATAATTTAATTGTTAATTTAAAAGTGCTTAATGTTTATATTATGTTTATAAATTTTTTAAAAATTTAAAAATTATTTTATATTTTATTTTATTAATTTAAATTACCTTGAATGTAAAAAAAAAAACTTATATCTTCTAAAATTTCTAATATTTGTCTATGTATAATTATTATATCTTTTCATTTTTATATGGATCATTTTATTCTTTATTTATTTTTTAATAACTACCTTTTTATGAGTAACTTCTTATTTTTTTATTTTTTTATTTTTTCAATACAATATAGGCACGAAGTGCCTTTTTCCTGCTAGTTAATATATAAAGGGGATATCATTGTCAATAACTATTTTTGGTTTTCATTTTTATATGGACCATTTTATCTTTTATTTATTTTTTAATAATTATCTTTTTATGAGTAACTTTTTATTTTTTTTTATTTTTTTATTTTTTCTTTTAATACAATGCAGACACGTAGTGCCTTTTTTCTACTAGATAAATAATACAATCGTATAAATAATTTTACAAGAAAACATATATGATAGAAACGAATGGAGGAACAAATATGCACGACCTATTTTTGTTCCTTTCAATTTGTATAAACATATCCTCTTTGCATGAATTATCCAATACGAAGTGCCTCGACCCCACTAGATAAATAATACAATCGTATAAATAATTTTACATTACTTATTACTATTATACCTTAAATGTAAAAAAAATCTTATATCTTCTAAAACTTCTAATATTTGTCTATGTATAATTATTATATCTTTTCATTTTTATATGGACCATTTTATTCTTTATTTATTTTTTAATAATTACCTTTTTATGAGTAACTTCTCATTTTTTTTTATTTATTTATTTTTTCAATATAATATAGACACGGAGTGCCTTTTTCCCGTTAATAAAAAATAAAAAGAATAACGTTATGCCTGTTTATAACAACAAAATTTTACGGTTCTGTTTATAACAACGAAATCACTACGAATTTGAAGAAAATATAATTATGTTAAAATATAATTTTATTTTTTAAAAAATATAAATATACTTTATACATTAAAATATAATATTTATTTATTATGAATTTTATTTACACATATTAAATATTTAACCTGTGTATTATATAGATTAAAATATTAGTTTTCATGAATTTTTTTATAATTATTTTTATTTTTTTAAAGTATTATAATATTAAATGTTACATTAATTAAATATAAATAAACATTAAAAATTAATTATTAATAACATTAATTTAACAGAAAAATAAAAAAATTGTATTCGATAAATTAAATATTTTATATAATGACCAAAATTACATATCAATAAAAATAAAAAAAAAATTAAAAGTACAATTTAATATGTAGTATTTAATATCTAATATATTTAATATTTTTCCTAATTTTCTAATAATAAATACTTCCTTATATTTTTTACTTGTCAACTTTTTAGTGAAATTTTATTTTGTTATTTTAATTTCGAAGATAATATTAATTATTTTTTTTGACAATGATACTCTGACATTTAATTTAACTTTAAATTAATTTTCATATACCAACTCATACATTTAGTATAAAAAAACAAAAAAAAAATATAATAACAAACGTTAAAATCATTTTATAGAAAATAAGAAAATTTACTGTATTTTTTAGTTTGTGTTTAGAAAACTATTATAAAGTAACTGGACCAGTAAAAAATATTTAATATCTTTCTTAAATCCCTCAAATGCCGAGGACTTTTATTAAAATTGTTTCTCTTAATTTCCCCTTCAAGCAAACAAACAAAGTAGTAATAGTATTTAATATCTTTCTTAAATCTTTCAAACGAGGAGTGAGAACTTTAAGAAATCTAGGAACCAAAACCGGGTACTGTTGGAAGTTAAGTGGCGGTGGTTCCGCCGCTTGGAAACTAAACAACAGCTATAGTGGTATTCTAACTCTCCTTTGTTTTTACATCATTTCCGTGGTCTAACCTTCTTCTTTTCTCACTATATATTAAATCTCCACTCTCTCTCCTTCAACACCGATTACCAACTCACTCATCAATTCTAGTTTCTTCATTCTCTTTAACTATCATTCTTTTTCCTCATGTCGAACACAGCTGGTCAAGTCATCAAATGCAAAGGTCACTCTCATCTCTTTTCTTTTTATTTTTTTAGTTTCTTTGATAATTATCAAGAGATTCTTCTACACTTTTTTTTTTTTTTTTTTTTTTTTTTTTTTTTTTGA